GAGGTCCGTTCTTAACCTGAAACTGATCTTAACCTGAAGCACCACTTTAGCTAATGGGGCCTCCCGCTGCCGCCGCACAATTTCTGTTCTCAACCTGAAGCAAAGTTCTTAACCCGAGATTTTATTCCTGGGTTAGCGGAGTCTGTAACCTGAAGCGTATGTAACCCGAGGTACCACTGTACCCTAAACATTTTTTAAGAAAAAAGCACTGATTATTACTATTATTTTATTTTAGGGACAGCATTTGACACTAAATATAACAGATGTCATTGGTGAACGTCAGGGATCCTCCTGGACTCCATCTCCCAATGGACTCAGGGTTGATGGGAGCTGGAGCCCAGGAACCATGTACTTTTCTGTGTTCAGACCACTGCACGAACCCCTGTCCCAGTAACCTTTACAACAGACCTGCAAGGCAGGCTGCTGTTGCTAACCCCACATTGCAAACAGGGAGGGGAACTGGGGCTGAGCTAAGGTCGCCAGGTGGGTTTGTGGCAGAGGCAAAATTCAAAGAGAGGACACCCTGGTTCCCAGCTGATCTGCTGACTCCATAATCTTCTCCTGCATCCTCATCCTCCTTCCCCACATCCCTCCAGGACCCTACTTCTCTCCCTGCTCCCCATCTCTCAGGGTCTCTTGCCTGGTGGGGGCAAAGGACTAGGAAGCCCAGCTGCCTCAGTGCCCTGCTTGGGGGCTTCCCAAAGCGCAGAGCTGACCACCATTGGGAACAGAATGCTGGGTTTTGCCAATGCTTTGGGGCTCTGCTTTTATTTAACCTGACATTTCTCCCCCCCCAAAACTTTCCGCTAATGTTTTCTTCCTGCAGGAAACTGGATTTGTACACCATGGGCTGGAACCTGAGAGAAGACCTACGGGATTGCTTGGTCGCTGCCGCGCCCTACGGAGGCCCCATTGGTATGGCAAGAGCCAGCTCCTCTTTCTCGCGCCAGCTGTTCCTTTGCAGCTGGCAGGTTTCCTCTCTCGGCCCAGTCTCATTCACTGGTGCAGTCGGGGAATTTGCCAAGGGGTATGGCCTGCATGATGCAGTCAGTCGCGCGCTCTCTCTCTGGCTCTGCCTAGCCTGCCCTACAGGGCTGTTGTGAGAACGCCTTGAGGTTCCTGGAGGAAGGGCGGGACCCAAACAAAATAAATCAGGGCAAGGAAAGAGGGCTGGCACTGGCACTAGCTGCCAGAATAAAGGTAAAGGGACCCCTGACCATTAGGTCCAGTCGTGACCGACTCTGGGGTTGCGGTGCTCATCTCGTTTTATTGGCTGAGGGACCCGGCGTACAGCTTCCGGGTCATGTGGCCAGCATGACTAAGCCGCTTCTGGCGAACCAGAGCAGCACACGGAAATGCCGTTTACCTTCCCGCTGGAGTGGTGCCTATTTATCTACTTGCACTTTGACGTGCTTTTGGGCTGCTAGGTTGGCAGGAGCAGGGACCGAGCAACGGGAGCTCACCCTGTCACAGGGATTCGAATCGCCGACCTTCTGATCGGCAAGTCCTAGGCTTGTGGTTTAACCCACAGCGCCACCCGTGTCCCTAGCTGCCAGAGTAGCCACTAGTAAATCCTAAGCAGTTGAGTTGGCACATATGGGCAATAATAATAATGGCTCTAAATTTTGGCTGTCTATTTGGACCATAACCAAATTTTTTGCCTGCTGGTTCCTGAGATCAAGGAGCAGCTTCTCAGCCATGTTTGGAGACAGTTGGATGCCATTTTGAATCAAGATGGCAGACTGAACTTTTTTGGTTTTGACTACTGGCTCAAAACAACACTGGTTTTTTTGGGGTTTTTTTGGTTTCTTAGAATTTCTGAGCAGCGGTAGTTACAAGGCTGCTAGTAATGGCATAATTAAAGAAATTCTCACAAAGAATTAAAACGGGAGGTGGGAATGGCGATTATCAGGGGCTTGACTTCTCAGCTTTTTTTTATAGTGTGATAATAAAAAAAAGCCTCTATCATTTTAGCTTTGCTGAAAAACAAGAAAGAGAAATCTCCCAGTTCCCGGCCTCCTCTGGAAATCTATACTGCCTCAGGGGTCCTCTTGGCTAGCATTCCGGTAAGCGAATTGTGTTATCAATGGTCACTGGGCATTGCATAGTAACAGATTTATGTTTAAGTAGTATAGTAACGGATTTATGTATAAGCTAAACAAGCTATAGCTTAGGGCCCCACTCTCTTGGCGGCCCCCCAAAAAATTAAAAGGAAAAAAATCCTGGATGTACATTTCCAAAATATAAGATAAAAAACAAATAAAATAAAACCTACTTACAGTAACAGTGTTTTGTAGGCTTCTATGATGTAAGTAATGGGCCTCGCCGGCTAGCCTGTTCCCTAAAATATCACTGGTTAGATACCTATGAGGTCCATAAATTACCATACAGTGGTACCTTGGGTTAAGAACTTAGTTTGTTGTGGAGGTCTGTTCTTAACCTGAAACTGTTCTTAACCTGAAGCACCACTTTAGTTAATGGGGCCTCCTGCTGCCGCCGCGCAATTTATGTTCTCAACCCGAGGTACTATTTCTGGGTTAGCAGAGTCTGTAACCTGAAGCGTATGTAACCCGAGGTACCACTGTATAGCATATACAGTCATACCTCATGTTACGTTTGCTTCATGTTACGTTCTTTCAGGTTACGTCCTGCAACAACCCGGAAGTACCGGAAATGGTTACTTCTGGGTTTCGCCGCTCGCGCATGCGGAGAAACGGCAAATCACAACCCGCGCATGCGCGGATGCGCTGCTGCAGGTTGCGCTCTTTTCATGTTGCGAACTGGCTTCCAGAATGGATCCCGTTCGCAACCAGAGGTACTACTGTATTCAACACAAAAAATGACAGTTTGTTGTTGACAAAGAACAGCTGGACATATAAAGGGCCCCATTACCTACAGTAGCTGAGGGCCTCATCAAACCTCAATCCGGCCCTGCATAGTAACATTAGCAACAACAACAAAAAGGAGGAAGAAGGCAGGTCAGTTCTCTGCCCCAAAGAGGTTACATTTGCAGTGGTAAAGGCAACAGAGGGAAATGAGGAGGATGGGGGAAAGCAAGGGCAAACTCTGAACGAACGCTGTCAAATCGTGCTGCGTGCACTGAGCTCTTTTTTCAGCTGAGAACGAGGGCTTTGGGGGTTCAGCAACAGGGGGCTGGGTTCAAGTCGCGACGTCGCTGCCAACCTGGATGACTTTGAAAGAGATTTTTGTCTTTCACATGACGGTATGTGTTTTGACTCCACAGAGTGGGAAGTGACGGAGACAGGATGTTTGTGTTACTGTGTTCCGTGAAGTGGGACTATTATCCTTTGTTCTTTCTCTTTGCTGTCTGGTGCTAGAGAGAGAGGGAGCCATGTTGCAGTGCTCCGTGTGTGTTTATATGTAAATAAAGTAGATTAGCCAAAATGCTGAGTTGCTGAGGTCTGGCACACACATCCTGCACAAACTCTGTGGATCCCTAAGTGTGTCAGGTTGCTAAATAGCTGCATCTGGTGCCTGGCTAATTTCTCACCCTGGGCTTTGTCTCCCCCAGCGGAAGAACTGTCCAGCCGTGCACCTTGGCTGGACAACCAGTGAGGACCTCCTCTGCATCCAGGAGGACGGCTCGGTCCTCGTCTACAGCCTCTTCTGTGAGTTCAAGCGGCGCTTCAGCATGGGCAACGTAAGTGACCTTGGAGAGGAGGGTTTACTGGAACCGGGGGCTTTTGGGAGCTGGGGCCTCGGCCCAGGATACCTGAAGGAGTGTCTCCACCCCCATCGTTCAGCCCAGACACTGAGATCCAGCTCCAAGGGCCTTCTGGCGCTTCCCTCCCTGCGAGAAGTGAGGTTACAGGGAACCAGGCAGAGGGCCTTCTCGGTGGTGGCGCCCACCCTGTGGAACGCCCTCCCATCAGGTGTCAAGGAAATAAACAACTATCTGACTTTTAGAAGACATCTGAAGGCAACCCTGCATTGGGAAATTTTTAATGTCTGATGGTTTACAAATTTTTTACATGTGCTGTAAGCCGCCCAGTTTTTATTGTATAATGAAAACACTTAGAAATGTTCCGTAGGAAGTGATTCATAAATGTAAGCTCACTTCTTGTTTGAAGAAACATTCAAACATTTCAGTGTAGTTTAGAATAATATAATATCACTTGTTTTAAAAAAATAATTTTAAAAAATTTATCTTTTCAAAATGAGAGCAAGAGCGTTGGTTATTCTGCCCCAGTTCTCCATGACATATTGTCGCGAACTGGGGTTTTCAATGAAATATCAGAAAAGAGAAAGGCTTCTTTGTGTTGATTGAGGAGATGAGAATTTGTTTGTCTCGAATTCGACCGAATATCAATGAGATTACCTGGCAAAAGCCAGCTTGCACCTTTCATTGAGTTTGTAGGCATACCTAAGGTATATATGTAAGAGTCTCGTTCATAATGATATTTTGGAAATGATTCATGATCTTCTGTACCTGCCTTGTTCTATACTTTCTGGGTGCCGCACGATCATGTTATAAAGTAGTTGCATTCTGTGTTATAAATCAAACATTGCTAGGACTGTTTTTTTGAGAACTGCTGCTCTAACCACTACACCACCTGACCCGGTGCTTCCTTGCTTTCCTCTCTAACCCCCAGGAGGTGCTTCAGAACCACGTGCTGGAGGCCAAGGTGTTCCACACGGAATACGGCACGGGGGTGGCCATCCTCACTGGGGCCCACCGTTTCACCATAGCCACCAACGTCGAGGACTTGAAACTCCGCAGGCTGCCTCAGGTGCCAGGTAAATCTGCCTCCTGCCCACCTTCGCCCCTTGACTCGCACTGCCCCAGACGCACTCTTCTGTTTCTGCATGTGCGCTCCCTGGAACCCAAGGTTTTGAAAAGCAAAAATCGCACCCCAAGTTTCTAGAGTTTGTTTTAGGAGCCTCTGCACGTTCTATGTCGCACTTAGGGTCTGCTCTTGTTGTCGCCATTTCACTTTGGTGTTCTGTTAGTGCCTGCTTGTTATTAACTGATAAACTGTGGACCTATTTGGATCATTGGGTTATCTGAGAGGCAATACCTCTAATTTGTTGGAAGATCTGCTCAGCCGTTCTTGCAATTAGAGTTAATACAACAACAACAACAACAAATTTATTAAATTTGTGAGGTCCATGCCTTTACACAAAATACCATAAAACATTATTAAAAGATAAACCAAAAAGATTATAAAAGTAAGCTAAAATTCATGCCATGTTGTCCCAGCAAGGAAACTACCCAAAAAAACCCCACCATTCAAGGAAAAAGGTACAGCAACAGGTTAAGAGAGCAATGGGAGGGACCTCACCGTTTCATCCAGGAACCATACCCTAGTTTTCATAGCCTTCACCACAAAGACCGCTACCACGTGAGAAATCCGTGGATCAGCGTCTACCAGTAAAAACTTTACTTGGTCCTCAGAGTTGACTATTGATTTAGGAATAGTTTGTAACATCGCATCCCTGAAGGCCGAATAGATGGGACAATACAACATGTAATGTATGAGATCCTCTTTGGTTCTCATATAACAAGGACATATCCGCTGCTCTACTGGGATTTTTGCATATCTGCCTGACAGATAGGCCGTAGGAATGGTTTGAAAACGGGCCATAGTAAAGGCTCTCCGAAGAGTGGGATTGGTGATATTCGCCAAGTAGTTGGCGCATATTTTGACTGCTTTCAGTCGGGGAAGCCAGTGGGAGGACCCTGGGATCTGTATTTTTGTGGTATCTAACAGAGCGTCTCTCTCCAGGATCCATTTCCGGACTTTGTCCGGGCTCCACCGTTTGAGGATATTAAACTCCGGTAGGGTGTATCTAACCAGGATCTCAGATAAGTTTTGGCGCCAAGTGGTATTCTTTTGAAAAGATACGAAGGCTTGTTTGGCCAATAAGGTGTTTGAAGAGTTTGCAAGGTTGATGTAAAATCGTAGGAATCTTAAGTGGGCCCTGGCAGACACAGAGGGTAAACCAACCTCCACCCTCAAGAAGGCTGCTGGGGTTCCTTGAGGAAGGCCTAGAATCTTCTTGAGATAGTAGTTTTGCAAAATTTCAAGCCGTTCCAACAGCCTCTGGTTCCACCCCCAGAGTTCTATCCCATATAACATCTGGGGAATAGCTTTCCCAACGAAAGCTCTTAATGCCGGGATCACCAATTGTCCTCCCCTGGTATGGAAGAAACTAAGCAAAACACCAATTGTTCTTCGTGTTAGGATGGTTACAGCCTTAAAGTGGGCTAGCCAGCTAGATGTAGCCTGGAATGTAACACCCAGATATTTAAAAAAGGGCACTGTTCAATCACTTGTTCATCTAAAGACCATCTAAAGGTGTGGCGAGCTCTAGTAAACACCACAATTTTTGTTTTATCATGGTTTATCTTTAGTGAATTATGGGAACAGTAGGCTGCGATCCCCTCCAGCATGCTGCGTAAGCCTCTTCGGGTGAGTGCCATTAAAACCATGTCATCGGCATATAGCAAAATATTCAGGCGTTTACCTTCAAGGGCTGGAGCCGATGACTTGTACTTTGCCATGTACTGGACAATATCGTTTATATAAAAGTTGAAAAGAAATGGGGCTAGCAGGCATCCCTGTTTGACCCCTTTCCCCAATGGCAGTGGGTCCGTAAGAGTTCCCGATGGCCCAGTTCTGATTTTGACTGTAATGTCTGTATGTAACTCTCTGAGAATTTTTAAAAGTCGTCTGTCAATGTCCGTTTCATATAATTTTTTCCATAGTCTATCTCTACAGATTGAGTCGAAGGCAGATGTCAAGTCTACGAAGGCCACAAAGAGTCTGCTCTTATACGCTTTTGCATATTTAGCTACCAGGGTCTGTAGTACCATACAGTGACCTATCGTATTGTGGCCCTTTCTAAATCCTGCCTGTTCCTGGTTGAACAGGTTAGAATGGTCCGCCCAATCTACCAGCTTGTTTAATAGGTACCGGGTATAAAGTTTGTATGCGATGTCCAGAAGGCTTATAGGGCGGTAGTTTGCTGGATCTTGAATGTCTCCCTTCTTATAGATAGGGACTACCACACTTAGTTTCCAATTTGCTGGGATTTTACATGTGTTGTTCATTGCCGTAAAAGTTTGGCCAAAAAGATGGCCCACCATTGGGCATTTAATTTAAAAACCTCAGGGGGGATCATGTCCTCGCCAGGAGCTTTGCCATTTTTTAAAGTTTTAATTAGCTGTAGGCACTCTGATTCCGTAACAGGATCCCAACTAACTAGATGCTCATTCTTCAATGGGAGGAGCGGACTCAAATTAGCAGTATTTGAGAGTGTGTATAGCTTGAGAAAGTGTTGATACCACACATCGGATGGAATACTGCTGTTTACAATTTTTCCTTTGGATGAGACTCCCTGTGCTACTATTGCCCAGAATTTTCTATCGTCTCGCGATTTAATCGCCTTATCAAGTTCCTCCCATTGTTTCTTCCTGTAAAGGGATTTCTTGAGTTTTAAGGTGTATTTATAGTGAGAGCGCCATCTGTGGAAATTTACCATAGATGACAAAGTCCTCTCCTGTTTTACCTTATTTTGTTGTTTCCTAAGCAGGGATCTTAGCTTCCGGCAGTCTTTGTCAAACCAGGCCCCGATTTGTTATGTTGTATGGGAGGCCTGGTGTTTATAAGAAATGGGAAAAGGGACTCTGAGACCCGCTGATATAGTGAAAAAGGATCAAAGTTAGGTAAAGGACACTGGTCTCTCAGAACCAATAGATCTGGAGAGTGCAGGTGTTGATTAATTTTAAGCTCCAGCTCGCTGTTCCATTTACGCCTGCGTGGGGCCGGTGCTTGAGGAGGGGCTGCACAATGTAGATGTTGTAATCCCCTTGATTCAAGGGGAGTTAGTGAGATTGCTCTAGGAAGATGGTCGCTCTCAGTTCTATTAAAAGTGCTGAGACCCTGTACCCTCTCCAAAATTGTTGGAGAGACCAGGATATGGTCAATCACACTTGCACCACGAGGGCCGATAAAAGAGAAGAAACCTCCTGACCTGTCCATGTAAGTACCATGCAGGTTGTACAGATTATGCTTAAAAGCAATCTCCAGTAATATAATACCTGCCTTGTTCAAGACCTTTTCATCAGAACTCCAAGGGATAAGCCAGTCTGCCTCTGGTAGAAACTGAGTTTTGGAGCCATACGAATTGATGTCGCTGCCTATCCTGGCATTAAAGTCACCTGCCAGCAGGATGTTCCAGTCAGGGAATTCTATTTTGGCCTTCTCCAAGCATGACTCCAAATCTTCCCAGATTTGTACTGTCTGAGAGGAAGTACACACGGGGGGGATATAGACGTTGAAACATAGAAGATCTCCTCCTGTGTTATTGGAGATAAGTAAAATCTGAAAATTGTTGTTCTTCATCCACTGCAGTTGTCGCACCCTGTGCCCTTGCTCTATAGGAATAAAAGTGACCAAACCGCCGCTAGGTCGGCCACGGTTATTTAGTTTTTTCGCAGGGGTAGCAAAAGCCGCATAGCCCTGTAAGTAAGGGGGGTGAGAGTCTAGGCACCAGGTCTCTTGTAGACAAATAATCTGGAATTTTGAGAGAAAATCCAGAAAATCAGCAGCGCCCTGCTTAGACCGCCAGCCCGCCACATTCCACGATAAGATGTGAAAATATGGTGGTGAGGGGAACAAAGGTAGACTTCTCCGTTTGTTCTTTAGGATGATGGAATGAATGTTTTTGTAGAGGTGGAGTGAGCTGTTGGTATCCTTTGTGGTAGGTACTAACCTAGTGAGTTTTGTTTCACTGGCGTGGTGTCCCTCGCTGTATCTGTCTTTCAATCCTCCACCTGAATGCCATCTAAGGATCCTGAGGCATCCACAAAGATTGAACCGTTCCTACTCATCGGCATGGCAAGGTCTACCTGGTGTGTTGTTGTTTGAGGTGTTAAGGGTTGTGTGGGAGAACCCACTTCTTCGGGGGGACAGGAACCGGCACAGCGTCCAGTCTTCGTTGGATAAGGGCTTTGTTGTGTTAGTAGCAAAATTAAATTCCAAAGGAGCAGAAAAACCTTGGCGGAATACGGATTTTTTAATGGTTTGTAACCTAGCTATTAACGCATCCTGAGACTGTTGAATTTGCTCAAGGGAGGCTAGAAAGAGCATCTCCTTTTCATTTAAGATATCTTTTTTGGGTTCATTGGAAGGGAGAGTTAATACGAATACAAATGTTGTTGTTGTTGAGTCGTTTAGTCGTGTCCGCCTCTTTGTGACCCCCTGGACCAGAGCACGCCAGGCACTCCTGTCTTTCACTGCCTCCCGCAGTTTGGTCAAACTCATGCTGGTCGCTTCAAGAACACTGTCCAATCATCTTGTCCTCTGTCGTCCCCTTCTCCTTGTGCCCTCCATCTTTCCCAACATCAGGGTCTTTTCCAGGGGTCTTCTCTTCTCATGAGGTGGCCAAAGTCTTGGAGCCTCAGCTTCACGATCTGTCCTTCCAGTGAGCACTCAGGGCTGATTTCCTTCAGAATGGAGAGGTTTGATCTTCTTGCAGTCCATGGGACTCTCAAGAGTCTCCTCCAGCACCAGAATTCAAAAGCATCAATTCTTTGGCGATCAGCCTTCTTTATGGTCCAGCTCTCACTTCC